TGAGAGGACTTTCTTTTTCCCCCCCCCCCCCCCCCCCCCCGCCTCCCCTCAGGACAAAACGATTTTCCCTGAGGGACGACGGAGAGTCTGTACACAGGCTATTAAAACGCAGCAAGGAACTACCTTGATAGACGACCGTCGAGCAGATGATAGACAAGGCGTATTTTGGGTGGGCGAAACCTTGTTCGTGTTCGTATTGTTGTAGCTGTCATTGGAAGATTGGGGAGAGTAGAAATAGTAATCCTTTTTCGCGAACAAAAACATTTCCGCGCCCGAAGAAAACACCTGCACTGCAGGCTAGGTATTAAAAAAATCTCTTTGCCTATCCCTAACTTTGTTTCTATGTGATGTTACTGACAACCAATCAGGGGTCACAAAATGAGCAGGCTACGAAATGAGCAATTGAAGATATAATCATCATGATCTTCGAATTCGGTGCAATTCGTAACAAGTAAGGTAGAATATGACAATCCTGCTGTCCGTCGACAAGAATGAAAGTGCAAGCAGCACTTAGATTTCCCTTCACAAGTATATTTATCATGAATTTATTCACTAAGTCAACTATTTGGCAAGTAGTGGCAACAGGGGTTCTAGTAAGGCTGTACGTAAACTTTACTATTGCGTCTAACTTCAGTTAGATTGTTCAATTTCAATTGCTCCTCTTTGTGTCTATCTTGAAATGCTCATGGTTACATCAATCCTCTGTTCGTATGATTCTAAAAAAGGAAAAAAAACCCTCTACATCAGGATTTTTGAACGTTTTTGTCTCTCTCCTTCTTCTTCTTCTTCTTTTTTAATTCTTCGCTTAGTCAAAAAGACCACTTGAAATCAAACAAACTTTAAATTTGTACGTGTTGATCTTAAGTCTCTCTGTTATTGACCTCAAACAGCTTTTAATTTTCCTCAGCCAGTCGTTCGATTAGTTGATCGATATGGCAGTAATACGAAAGGGAAGGGTGATTATAACCTTTAAATGAATTTGGCAGTCTTACCTGAATATTCTTCCACGCGGGTTGTAACTTTCGTCTAGTCGCTGTGTTCTTCGGGCCCTCGCCGAGCAGTAAAGCGATGATCTTCGCAATGGCTTCTGGTCACTCTTTTGCCGCTTCTTGTCATCTTTTTTGGCGTTTTTGCTGGTGAAGTATTACAACTTCTTCTTTTCAACATTATGCAGACCAAGGCAAAAATGAACACAAAGGCCACGAAGGCCAACGCTAAGCAGTCAGAAAACAGTCAGCCTGCTCTTTCTTGTTTTTGATAAAGTGCAACTTGGTCACTCGTCAACTCACACAGAAAGTGATCAGAAAATACATTAAATACACCGGCCAGCTCATTTGGTGTCCGTAACGTAGTCAATGGTGACATTTTTTGTCCGTGCTTTTGACAACAACTAATTGTTTTTCTTGAAAGCACTTTTTTAGTCTTGACAACCATTATTATTCACTCATGGGACTAATTATTTAACAATTATTCCTCGAGCCCGAATGGGCTTTGAGTCAATAGCCCATGATGGCGAGAGGAATAATTGTTTTACTAAAATCCAACTAGTTGGTCAAAAACGTCGAGACAAAACAACTTAAGCTAGCAAAACGCGGTTCAGCCGCCATTGGTTTGTTTTCAAAGCCGGCGCTTTTCGCTGCTAGTGAGCTATAACATATTGCCTAGTAGTAGCTCAACCAATCAGAACGTAACATTGGTAATAGACCACTAGTTGGATTTACTAAAAGACAATAGCTCGCTTACTCGAGAAGCACCATTTTCGAACCAGATTTTTTCAAAGTGAAAGTGATAGTTGTTCTACTCTATCGCTTTTTAAAACTAAAACGGATCCTGTTCAATTCTTTCATAAGCCGAGCGTAGGTTTAAAACTTTAAGAAAATGTCTTTAAAAAAATGGACTCCATACAATACTGAAAAAGCCCATTTTAATTTTACCGTATTTTAAAGTTCAATCTTCCTCGTTTTAGGCTCAAATAACAGGTACACGATTCTCCTTCAAAAAGTCGCGGATAGGTTGTTAGGAATTGGCTTTTGAAAAGTAGGAAAACAACGAGAAGCAGCAAAAACTGAGGTGATTTAGCTCATATCTAATATTTTAAAATACATCAGTATTGCCGCGAATTATACAGCGGATTCAGTGCAACATCTGACTCAATCGAACTGCCGGTCAGATCTCGCAACATTTTGGTTGATTAAAGAACTGAAATCTTTCAACCTCGCAGTGAATTTATTTACGACATAATCAAGATCTCGCACGCGCTGATATCAATGGAAAATTTCAATTTTCTTTCAGCGGTTTCACTTTCAAAGAAACAAAATTCCCGCAAAATAAAGCAAAGTGAAATGTCTCTATTCTCCTTGCTAAAAATCCGTTTTTACAAGACACCTTGAAGCCAAACGTTCAGTGATAGAAAACTTCAACAGTCTTGACCTAAATGGTGATGAGATTTTTTCCTTTGAAGAGTTTGATGAAGCATGACATGGCACAAATACGGAGTAAAATATATGGGGAACGAAAATGTTGGAATTTAATATCCCAAGTTTTGTTAACCTTGCGTCGTATTCAAGGAGTGTTATAAAATTAAGTGCATTTTTTAACCATAAAGCAATTCTAGATTGGACTACTGTCAGGAAAACAACGCTATTAATCAAAAGGATTCATTCAGGATTACAGTTTTGCATAAATTTAATGCGTGAGACTGTGGGAAAGGCAAAGAAAGCGGAACGGGAGAAAAAAAAGCGCACAGAGAGAGAGAGAAGAAGAAGAAGAAGAAGAAGAAGAAGAAGAAGAAGAAGAAGTAGAAGAAGGGTCTTTCCTTTCTTTACTGCAGCAGGCTCAGTCGAGAGTTTCAGGTCCACGCCTTTACGTTGCTCGAATGACCACGTAAAATTGACACGATGCTTTCTCCATTAGGAGATGTGAAAATAGTATGCTTAACATTAGTACTTTCGTGCTAAATACATTGACACTCGTATTAAGTGCCTATTGTCCTCCCTACGCCCTTAAATTTCCTACGTGGTATCTCAATTGTTTGAATACTCAGCGTGAGACCCAGTGGCACGAGATCAGCAAAATGGATGCCAAGACTTTTATATCACACACAGTATTTCTTTATTTTTGTATATCCTGATAATTACATTGTGTATTTCTGTGCAACAGCTGCTAGGGCTAGGAAAATGATTGCATTAAGATGTAATCAACTTTTTCGCTCAAAACCTATGTAGTGTTTATGGGTAACCCCTCGTAACTCGGCTATCGAAATATACGACTTTCTTAAGGTTCTTGATGTTAGATGGACAATGAGCTATCCTTTAAAGACTACCTATCAACCGTTTTAAAGAAAGTCCATGGAAAAATCAGAGCTTCAATACGACTTTAAAGCTGTTGCTAGCTGAAGTTTCTCAAATACCGTCAGAAATTAAAGAAGGAGAGACTCAAAAAGAAAGCTGGAAGGTCCTTCCTCTAAACGCCACTAGACAACATTCAGTAGGACACGTTTCTGACGGTACTTCAGTCATTCATTAAAATGGAAACGTAAACAGTATTTTAAGGTGCTACCATCCATTTTGACTGAGAACCCCAGTCTAACCTGGGCTTATCAATCCATGTATAGGAAGAAAAGACTCCCATCTTCTGTCTAGTACAGTGGAACAAATTGTGTCTTTTGCTCAAGAGAACGCAAACTGTTTAACAACTTTTTTTTCATTCTTAATAGTGATGATGGTGACCCCACTGCACGATGACTGCTATTTCAGTGACGTTGATGTTGAGGCTTATGTTTTTATCTCACTTTCTTCCGACCGGCGGTGGATTTGGAATTTTTTGGAACAATTAACCATTTGTAAATCTTGTGGACCGGGCAATCTCACACCCCGTCTGTTTAAATACTGTGAAACGTCTATTTCTTCTCCTTTCTTCATCTTTTTAACGAACAGAAGAGCATGTCTAGCTCGTCTTTAGGCCTCCAGTCAACCTTCATTAGTCCCAAGATCGCAGAGCACATTTTCCCTGAGCCTGCATCTTTTTCTTCAAAGCTCGGAACTCTTCCACCGTATACTGCTTTGGACCCTGAAAGGAAGAGGGAAGTTTCCGTATTTGAAAATGAAATATAGAGCAACGACACATCGGTGCAGGTCTGATGGAATGATGTTTTGAATATGAGCTTGTCTTTGACTTGTTCTATCAGGTGAGTTTACAAAGTGAATCGGCTAGTGAAATTTAGGTTGAGAAATGGTATGTAAGTGCTTTTTATTTGCTTAGGCCATCCCAATAAAATGTTTCGTTTCCCATCGCCCTGTCTCTTGTGATGGTGGGTCGGAAAAAAAAAAGAATGAACACTTGAAGGAGTCTAGGTTCCAGAGAATGCTGGGATGCTAAGTAAGAAAGCCTGGTTACAAAGTCAACTCAAAACGTG